AGTAGTCCTAGGCTGGCTTTATACATTGGGCAAAAGCTGGGATTCAAGGGAAGGTCGGACTTACCCTCTACATCATGATATACTACTTATTCTTTTTTTTTTTTAATTAAAAAAAATTATTTTAAGGTTCTTCTGTGGATTGAGTGAAAGTTTACAGGGCAGATCATCAGCTTTATATTCAGCAAATCATACACTGTATTTCATTACAATGATTATAATCCCCTCCAAGTTTGATCTGTTTTTATGTGGACACTCTGCTGAAACTTGTCTAGTATTGTAGCCACTTGCAAACCTCCACTCACAGATGGGTGTTGGCTGGACCTGAGGTACTGTTGTTACTGGGAATCAAACCACTTGGGATCAAAGCAAGATCTCTAATAGAAGACATGAATTCTGTCACTGAGAGACCTAACACATATTAGTGACTTATGTGGCACTTGTAGGATAAGTGCTGGGCTGCAAGGTTGGTTTGGACTGCAAGGTGGGTGGTTCAAACTCACCAGCCGCTCCTTGGAAATGCCATACAGGGTTGCTGTGAGTTGGAACAACACTTAACAGCAACAATCCTTTAATAAACATTGTATTCTCCATTGAATTTGATTCAGACAACTCTGCACACATTTGTTCTGAGAACAGGTTCACAAACGTTTGATTGTTCAAGTTTTCTTTGGGTCCAGTTTGTACTTCTAGTCTCTGTAGTAGCACAGTGATAGTAGAGACTGGGAAACAAATCATGAGCCACTTTAATTCTGCAGTGCCCTGTGGCCACTTGGAGTGTTTGTGCTTAAAATATAAAGTGATAAAACAGAATGAACAGTGAGTTTTAATATTTTGGTGCATTAATTACAAATTTTAGTTCATGAACATTTTCCTGAATTTAAATAGTATATTCCAAATTGATTTTTTTTTTTTCAAATTTAAAAACTAAAGCTGAATCAAGAAAACTCATGCACCATGTCTTAACAGCTGCATAATTTAACCATTGCCTTTACTTGTACCTTTGGGTAGTATTTAAGGATTTTATTTAAATTTGCTTTCTTAGTTGTTGTTTTTTTCCTTCTTTTCCACTGTAATTATTCTATATTTCTGTTGTTGCTTTTGTTGATAATTGCTGTTGAGTTGGTTCCAACTCATAGCAACCCTGTTTAGAGTTTCCGAGGAGCAGCTGGTAGGTTTGAACTGCTGACCTTGCAATTCAAGCTAACCTATGACCCAGTGCTTATCCTACAACTCCATACCAGAACACCATTTTATATTTATTGTTGTTGTTAGATGCTAGAGTCGGTATCAACTCATAATGATCCTATGCACAACAGAAAAAAACACTCACAATTGTTGCTACATTTGAACCCATTGCTGCTGCCCCTGTGCCAAACCATCTCATTGGAGGTCTGACCCTCCTCTTTACCAAACATGATATCCTTCTCCAGGGACTGGCCCTTCTTGATAATATGTCTGAGGTATGAGAGACAAAGTCTGGCCATCCTGGCTTCAAAGGAGCATTCTGGCTGTACTACTTCTAAGACAGATTGCTTTGTTCTTTTGGCAGCACATAGTAATTTTAATAATCTCCTTCAACACCGTAACTCAAATGCGTCTCCTCCAACACCATAACTCAAATCCGTCTATCGTCTTCCTACTCACTGTCCAACTTTCACAGGCGTATTGGTGGTGGTGGTTATGTGCTGTGGAGTCGGAACCGACTCTTAGCGACCCTATACAGGGTTTCTGAGGCTGTAAATCTTTACGGGAGCAGAAAGCCTCATCTTTCTCCCATGGAACAGCTGGTAGTTTCGAACTGCTGACCTTAAGGTTTGCAGCCCGATTCATAACCACTACGCTACCAGAGCTCCTTTTACATGCATATTGTTGTTGTTAAGTACTGTGGAGTTGGTTCCGACTCATAGTGACCCTACACAGAGTTTCCAAGGCTGCAAATCTTTACGGGAGCAAAAAGCCTCATCTTTCTACCGTGGAACAGCTGGTAGTTTCAAACTGCTGACCTTGAGGTTAGCAGCCCGATTCGTAACCACTACGCTACCAGAGTTCCTTTCCAGATGCATATTAGGTTATTGAAAATACATAGTTTGGGTCAGGGGCACCTTAGCCCTCAATGTTTGCTCTTGAATACTTTAAAGATTTCTTGTACAACAGATTTGTCTAATGCAATACATCATTTGATTTCTCGACTGCTGCTTCCATGAGTGTTGATGGTTGATCGTCTTTGACAACTTTAATCTTTTCTCCATTTATATGAATGTTGTTTATTGGTCCAGTGGTGAGGATTTTTGCTTTCTTTACATTGAGGTGCAACCCAAACTGGAGGCTGTGGTCTCTGATTTTCATCAGTATTTTAAACCTTCTTTGCTTTCAGCAAGCAAGGTTGTATCACCTGCATATCGCAGGTTGTTAATGAGTCTACCTCCAATCCTGCTGCCACAGTCTACGTATAACCCAGCTTCTCAGATTGTGTGCTCAGCATACAGATTGAACAAATATGCTAAAAGAATACAACCCTGGCAGAAACCTTTCCTAATTTTAAACTATTTGGTGTCCCCTTGTTCTGTTTGAACAACTGCCTCTTGGTCTATGTACAGGTTTCTCATCAGCACAGTTATGTGTTCTGGAATACTTATTATCCACAATGTTGTCCATAGCATGTCATGATCCACACAACTGAAAGCCTTTGTGTAGTCAAAAAAGCACAGGTAAACATTTTTCTGAAATTCTCTGTTTTCAGCCAAGATCAATACTGATATCCCTTGTTTCATATCCTCTTCTGAATCCAGCTTGAATCTCTGAAAGTTATCTGTTGAATGTATGGTGGCAGCAGTTTCTGTATTATCTTCAGCAAAATTATATTTGCTTGTGGCATCAAGGATATCGCTCAATGAATTCCACATTCCATTGGTTCACCTCTCTTTGGAATGCATACAGATATAGATATGGATCTCTTACAGTTAGTTGGCCAGGTATCTGTCTTCCAAATTTCTTGGCATAGGTGAGTAAGTGCCTCCAGCACTACATCTGTTTGTTGAAAGATTTCAATTTATATTTTATCAGTTCTTGTTGCCTTATTATTCTTTGCCAATGTCTTCAGTGCACTTTGGACTTCTTCCTTCAGGATCATTGGCTCTTGATCATACGCAACTTTTTGAAATGGTTGAACATCTGCCATTTCTTTTTGGTGACTCTGTGTATTCCTTCCATCTTCTTTTGAGGCATTCTGCATCATTCAATATTTTGCCCACTGAATCCTTCAATATTTCAACTTGAGGCTTGGATGTTTTCTCTAGTTCCCTCTGCTTGAGAAATGCTGGGTGTGTTCTTCCCATTTTGTTTTCTGATTCCAGGTCTTTGCATGTTTTGTTATAATTTCTGACTTTGTCTTCTTGAGCTGACCTTTGACGTGTTCTGTTCAGATCTTGTACATTCTCACTTCTTCCATTTGTTTTACCATCCTATGCTGAAGAACACGTTTCAGAGTCTTTCCTGGTATCCATTTTGGTCTTTTCTTTCTTTTTTGTCTTCTTAATGACCATTTACTTTCTTCTTATATAATGTTCTTGATGTTATCCCATAGCTCTTCTGATGTTCCATCTTTAGTGTCTAATGCATCAAATCTGTTCTTTAGTTGATCTTTAAATTCAGATGGGATATGTTAAAGGTCATTTTTGGTCTCTTGTGGAGTAGTTTTAATTTTCTTTAGCTTCAGCCTAAATTTGCATAGACCAATTGATGGTCTGTTCCACAGTCTGCCCCTGGCCTTGTTTTGGCTGGTGAGCTGGAGCTTTTCCACTGTCTCTTTCCACAGATTTGGTCAATTTGATTTCTGTGTATTCATCTATTGCTGTTCATGTGTATAGTTATCTTTTATGTTGTTTAAAAAAGATATTTGCAATGAAGAAGTTATTGGTCTTACAAATTTCTATCATCTAATCTCCAGCATAAGTTCTATCACCAAGGCTATCTTTTGGAACTACTTTTCCTTCCTCTTTGTTTCCAAAGTTTGCGTTCCAATCACCAGTAATTATCAATACCTCTTAATTGCATGTTTGATCAATTTCAGACTGAAGAAGTTGGTAGAATTCAATTTCATCATCACTGGCTTTAGTGGTTAGTACATAAATTTGAATAATAGTGGTATTAACTAGTCTTTCTTGCAGGTGTATGAATATTATGTGTCCAATCACAGCATTGTACTTCAAGACAGATCTTGATATGTTCTTTTTGATGATGAATATGGCGCCATTCCTCTTCAATCTGTCATTCCCAGTTTAGTGAACTGTGATTGTCAGATTCAAAATAGGCAATACCAGTCCATTTCAATACACTAATATCTAGGATATTGATGTTTATGTGTTCCATTTTGTAAGTAGTCCATTTGTTCTTCTTAGTCTGTCTTTGTCTGGAAGCTCAACTTAAATCTGTTCAATATGAATTACCCTGCTCGTATTTAAAATACATGTGGTATAGTTTCCAGAATCACAGCAATACACAAGCCACCACAGTACAACAAACTGACAGATGAATGGTGGATTTATAATTCAATTCAATGAAAAATTTGACTTTTTTTTCCCCCTGGTCATTATTATTTTGCATTTCATTTGATGATTATTATTGAAAATAATTTTATTTTATCGAGGATAAATGGAGTCCTGGTGTAGCACTGTGCAATAAACACTGAACTAGTAACGATAAGGTCATTGGTTTAAACCCACCAACCACTCCTCGGAAGCCCTATAAAGGGTTGCTAGAAGTCCATACCAACTTGGCATTAACAACAACAACAGAGGATAAATAAAGAACTTGTTGAATGACTTTGTTGCTAGAAACATTTATTTTGGCACAGTCTATCTTAAATAACTTTGTAGCGGTTACCCTTTGCTACAGATGCATCTATGATTTAAGGACTCTGTCCTGTTCCATTTCTTATCCCAGAGTTCATACATGTCTTTCAAATTACTTCCCAGTCCAAATGACCAATTATTCCTTCATACCCAGACTAGGCTCAAAGCAGGTGGTTTAGGCATTGCAGGGTTTGTAACACTCTTAAGTCCCAGGTAAATCACGAGAGGTATGAAGCCCCAGCGGATGGCAACCTGGCCACTCTTGAAGAGCTGCTGCAGTCTTTGCTTGGCCTCTTTGCTCAGCTTCACCATGTCAACAGGAGGGATGGCACAGTCTAGTCACCCTCTTGAGGGGTCAAATACACTAAGGAAGCCTCTTCTAGGATTGCTCTAAGTGTTGTTCCTGTATCCTCCGACTGGGCATTATCTGTAAAGTTAACTGAGAGTCCAGATTCTAGTTCTAGAATTCCGTGGAATTCTTTCTGTGATGTCAACCTGCTTACCTGTTGTTCAGGGCTCTCCATTTCTCTGTTACTATAATGGTGTCTTAACTACAGCCCCTGCCCTGGCTGTCCTCTGTGCTGTTCTCCTGTGTTGTCGTCGCTGGTGTGCATTTTGGCTTTAATGCTTTTACTCATTGTGCCACAGGCACCTAGTACTTGTTGTTGTTTTGTTGTTAAGTGCTGTTGAGTTGGTTCTGACTCATAGCAGCCCTGTATAGGATTTCTGAGGAGCTACTGGTGAGCTTGAACCACTGACCTTGTGGTTCAAACAGACCTTGCAGTTCAGTGCATTAATCCACAGTGCCATTCCCAGTACTTGAGTCAGTGCAAATTGGGTGCAGGACTGGGCAGTGTTTCTTTCTGTTGTGTCAAGTTGCAACTGAGTCAACAGCACTTAACAACAATAAAAGCCAGATGAATGAATATACAGGTACATATAAGTTCCAGCCAGATGAATACAGTGTGTGCTGCAAAGTTCTGTGATTGGGGACTGTGCTTTCTAGCTAAGGCAGAGTTGTTGTTAAGTGGCAGCTAGTCAAGTCTTACTCATAACAACCCTATATAGGGTTTCCCAGGAGTGACTGCTAAGTTTGAACTGTTGACCTTGTGGTTCAAACTGACCTTGCAGTCCAGTGCTTATCCTACCAGTGGTTCACAAATCTAGAACCACTTGAGACCACTTTGAAATAGGAATGCCTGAATATTGAATCAGAATCTTGGATATTGGGGTCCTAGAATGTGTATTAAACTTCATTAGTATAGATTTTGTTGCCTAGGAAGCTTTTTGTTTTTAAAAAAGTTTTTATTGAGAATTGAGTGAAAGTTTATAGGACAGATCATCAGTTTCACATTCTACAAATCATATACTTTGTTTCATTACAATGATTATAATTCCTTCCATGTACCATCAATTAACAGTATTTCTCTCTATTCATTTTAACTTTTTTTTTTTTAACATTCACGCATATATAATAATTTATACCACCAGCTCTCAGTCCCTCTCTTTCCAAGAATCTAGAGTCCTCAGCTGCACCCTCTCTTAGGAAGCTTTTAAAGATGCTATGTTGATGCAGACAGTTTAATACTTGCCTGCTAACTAAAAGGTTAGTGTTTGGAACCCACACGCCAGCTCTATGGGAGACAGACCTGTTGACTTCCTTCCACAAAGACTGTAGCCAAGAAAACCCTGTGGAACAGTCCTGTTCCCTCACGTAGAGTCACTGTGGACTGGAATTGACTGAAAGGCGTCTAACAGCAACAAGAAGCTTTTCTGTTTTTTGAACACTTTCTTGTGTTTTAGGTGAAAATTTACTCAGCCAATTAGTTTCTCATTCAACAATTTATACACAAATTATTTTGTGACATTGTCTTCTTTCCCCACAGTCTGTCATCACTCTCACTATTTCCAACTGGCCTTCCTTACTCCCATCGCCTAGTTTCCTTGCCCCTCTTTACCGTGGCATTTTAACTCTGAGGCAAATGCTGCCTGTTTCAGTTAGCTCTGACTCATAGCAACCCTATGTACAACGGAGCAAAACACTGCCCAGTCCTGCACCATCCTCACAACAGTTGCCAAGCTTAAGCCCATTGCTGCTGCCACTTTGCCAGTCCATTTTGTTGAGGGGTCTTCCTCTTTTTCACTGACCCACCACTTGACCAAGCAAGATGTCCCTCTCTAGGGACTAGTGCCTCCTGAAATATGAGACATGAGTTCTGGTCATCTTAGTTTCCAACGTGCACTCTGGCTGTACTTCTTCCAACACAGATTGGTTTGTTCTTTTGGTAGTCCATGGTACTTTTAATATTCTTCCTCAACACCATAACTCAAATGCATCAATTGTGCTACAATCTTCCTTATTCACTCTCCAACTTTCACATGCATATGAGGTCATTGAAAATACTGTTGCTTGGGTCAGGTGCACCTTAGTCCTCAAACTGACAACTTTGCTCTTCAACACTTTAAAGAGGTCTTGTACAGCAGATTTGCCTAATGTGATATGTCATTTGATTTTTTTGACTGCTGTTTCCATGAAAGTTGATGGTTGATCTGAGCAAAATGAAATCTTTGACATCTTCAGTCTTCTCTCCATTTATATAGATGCTGTTTATTGATCCAGTGGTGAGGATTTTTGTTTTCTTTATATTGAAGTGCAATCTATAGCGAAGGCTGTGTGGTCTTTGATCTTCATCAGTAAGTGTTTTAAGTCCTCTTAGTTTTCAACAAGCAAGGTTGTATCATCTGTACATTGTTGTTGTTGTTGTCAGGTGCCATTGAGTCGGAACCGACTCATAGCGACCCCTTGAACAGCAGAACGAAACAATGTCCGATCCTGGGCCAACCTCACTACATTACAGACAGACCTGTTGACTTCATTACAGATTGTTAATGAGTCTTCCTCTAATCCTGATGCCATGTTTGTCTTCATATAATCCAGCTTTTAGCCACGATCCATCTGATGTCAACAACAATATCCCTTGTTTCTCCTCTTCTTCTGAATCTTGGTTGAATTTCTGGCAGTTCCCTATTGATGTACTACTGCAACTGTTTTTGAATGATCGTAGCAAAATTTTATTTGCATGTGATATTAATAATGAATAATATTGTTAGATGATTTCCATAGTCCATTGGGTTACCTTTCTTTGGAATGGGCACAAATCAACTGGCCAGGCAGTTGTCTTCCACATTTCTTGGCATAGACCAATGAGCACATCCAGCACTGCATTAGTTATTGTCTCTTTTAGGAAGCTTTCTATGTCCTCTTGTGTTTGCAAGAATTTAGTTTAGGGTACTTTAAAGACACTTACACGGAGGTTTGTTAAGGTAGCAATTTCTTCTGTGGAGTTCTTGAGAGGTGCAAATGGTTAATGTCCTTGATTACTAATTGAAAGGTCGGAGGATTAAGTCCACCCAGGGGCATTTTGGAGCCCAGTTCTACAGTTCTACTTAACAATAACAACTCTGACATACATGGAGTTGGAATTGACTCTCATTGTAAGTAGTGTTTGGTTTTCTTTCTTATGTAAACGTTGAAGCTGGCAGGCGGTCTGGAAGGTAAGGTGGCTCTGTTCCTGGACGGCTTACTGCTCTGTCATCCCCAGGACATTGCCCTCATTGGTGTGGTGAAGGTGGCTCACCACCGTTCACCTCCTTCCTTTGAAGAGCCCAATTCAGGCATGTACACATTACCCCTGCTGACAGTCCCTCAGCCCAGGATTCACCATATGCCCAAACCTAACTTCAGGAACCTCCACTTGTCTGTCAGTTTGCCTTACTGGGGTGGTTTGCATGTTGCTGTGATTCCAGAAGCTATGCCACCAGTATTTTAAATACCAGCAGGGTCATCCAAGATGAACAGGTTTCAGGTGAGCTTCTAGATTAAGACAGACTAGGAAGAAGGAGTGATGGATTGCTTTAGAATATTATGTCACTAAAAACCTTATGAATAACAATGGGAGACTATCAGCTAGTACCAGAATATTGAATACTGAAACATGATGAAGAGCACCAAAATATTGTCAGATATAGTACCAGAAGAGGATCCCCTCAGGTTGGATGGTACTCAAAATATGACTGGGGTTAGAGTTGGCTCCTTAAAGTAGAGTTGACAGTGATAATATGAGTGGAATAAAGCTTTAGGGCCTTCAATTGCAGATGGGGCATAACTCAAAATGAAGAGAAACCACTGTAAACCTCCATTAATAATTGGAAAACGAAATGTACAAAGTATGAGTCTATGAAAATTGCAAGTTGTCAAAAATGAAATGGTGTATAATATCAATAACGTAGGCATTAGTAACCTGAAATAGACGGGCAGTGGTCATTTTGAATCTGATAACTAAATGGTTTGCTATGCTGGAATAACAGATTGAAGAGGAATGGCATCACATTCATCATCCAAAAGAGCATACCAAGATTTGTCTTAAAGTACAATGCTGTCTGTGATAGGATAATATTGCCTTCAAGGAAGATCAATTAATATCACTATTATTCATATTTACTGGGCAATCATTAAAGCTAGTGATGATGAAATTGAAGAATTCTACCAACTTCTTCAGTCTGAAATTTATCAAACATGCAATAAAGACATATTGATCATTACTGGCGATTGGAATGCAAAGGCTGGAAACAAAGAGGAAGAATCAGTAATTGGAAAATATGGCTTTGGTGATAAAAAACAGTGCTGGAGAATGCATGATAGAACTTCACAAGACCAATTACTTACTCATTGCAACTACCTTTTTAAAACAACCTAAAAGGCAGCTATACATATGGACCTCAACAGATGGAATACACAAAAATCAGATTGACTACATCTGTGGAAAAATGGTGGAAAACCTCCATATTATCAGCCAAAACAAGGCCGGGGGAGACTGTGGAACAGACTTCAGTTGCTTATATGCAAGTTCAGGCTGAAGCTAAAGAAAATTAAAAGAAGTTCAGGAGAGACAAAATGTGACATATCCCACCTTAATTTAGAGATCATCTCAGAACACGTTTGATACATTGACACTAATGACCGAAGACTAGGAACATTGTGGGATGACAAAAAAAAAACACGTACTAGAAGAAAGCAGAAGGCCATTGAGAAGACAAGAAAGAAGAAAAATACCAAAATGGATGTCAGAAGAGACTCTGAAACTTGCTCTCCAGCATAGAGATGCTAAAGCAAATGGAAGAAATGAGGAGGTAAAAGAGCTGAACAGAACATTTCAAAGGGCAGCTGAAGAAGACAAAGTCAAATATTATAATGAAATGTGCAAAGACCTGGAGTTAGAAAACCAAAAGGGAAGAACACGCTCAGCATTTCT